CGTGACGGGCCCGTCGCCTCGTCCCGGGGGATGCCCCGCGCGCGCCCCGCCCCGCCAGCGCCGACCCCTTCTCCGGGGGCAGCGGGGAGGCTGTGGTTAAAAGCGGAGCCTCCAAAAGATCCGGGATTTCAACAGCAGCCCCTGGTCGTGTGGGAGGGAGCGGGCGGCGGACAGAAGCGGTGTTTGACGCGGGTTTCAGCATCACGTCGCCCCCGGCCAGGGCCCTGCTCGCCTGCTGTCGGGGGAGCGGGGCTGTCCCCGTGCAACAGCTTCCTTTTGGCGGGCACAGATGTCCCTTGAGACTAGCAAAGCCCGTGTAAAGTGCGCACTTGGCAAACAACTTGTCGTAAATCAAAAGTACAGGTTGATGACAACCGGTATTCGACATCCCTCGATGCAGTTTCTACAGGCCGCAGCTTTTCTTCGGGTCCCGGTGGCCTTAGCCTTGAAGGGAGCCTTATAAGCAAGGCCCCGGCCCCCGGGGGTTGCCAGTCTGTGGTGCGGGTACCAGCAGTGCTGCGCAGACCGCCTGACGGTGGTAGGCGTTAACAGATTTGTTATAATTACTTTCTATGACAAAAATTTGCTGGTGGTATTTAAGGTTGAACTGAAACACTTTGCCGGTGGTATTTAAGGTTGTATCATTTTAAACTGGTGGCGTGCAATCTGTCCGAGTTTGTGAACCGCCGCATTAAGGAGAATCTCTGCTATCTTTTAGTTCAGACGCTTTATAGATACGGTATCTAAAAGGTTCCCCCTCCCCACCCGCTTAAAAAAAAAAAAGACAAGAAAACTGGAAGTTTTATCTTTGCACTTCTTTGAAGTTTTTTTAAAAATAAAATATTATATTGTCTACTTTTTACTCTCATACTTTTTTATTTACAGTGTGAAAGATTTTTTTAATAATAATCTATATTATGTAGACTTTTAGCAGTAAGCAGTGGGTGAGAGGCTATGAATAGATGCTATGTCGCTGTGTTGACTCAGGCTGTATTGCAGGCATAGTTTTGCTATCATAAAGCAAGTTGCCTGAAGGATGTTTACAGTTTTCAGTTTATTGGAAAACCCACCATTTACTTGAAGGGGTGTAGGTTGTAGCCGTGTTGGTCTAAGGACAAGGCTCTTTGGGTGAATCTGATATCTTTTATTAGACCAACTTAAATAGTTGGAAAACAATTTTTAAGCAAGCTTTCGGGTTCAAAAACCCTTTGTCAGGCTAAGGAAGTTTCAGCAGTTGATGTGTGCATATCTTGGTCCTGTCTTCTACATTTCATTCTGGGGGACTAAATGGTTTAAGGGACTGTAACTCTGCCAATTCCTGTGATTTTCATCTAGCATCTCATGTTAGTTGGTGCTTTTCTTAAAACATTCCAAACCGTGGGATCATGGTATTGTTTGAAAGCGTCTGCTTTCATTTAAAGCAGTTGTTTGCAGCCCACTTGGAAGTGCAGAATTTGACATATCCTAATACTAGAATAGCATTTTCCAGTCATTTGGTCAGTAGAGAAACTGGTTTATACTATTATCTCCACAAAGGTTTTCTCCGGGTTGTGCCTGAAATACTTAGCAAGGAAAAATGTAACTGCCTCTGCCCTGCTGTATAGATAGAGGACTTCAATCTGGACCCCTCATTTAGTCTATTCACCTAAGAGAAAGTCCAATCACGTAGAGCAAAATTTGCAGTTGCTTGTAGTAGTCAGAGTACATAGCCTTTGAAGACGGCCCCAGTATTGGAGCGCACAGAGGACAGAGTCCTTCTAGAATGCAGCAGGGGCATGTTTACACATGAGCTTTAATGCTTAGTAGCCTATTTTACTGTGCATTACTGTAATACCATGTTTTTTTAAGTGACACTTTAATGCACAGAAAAATAAGCTACTACACATTAAGCTTCACTTAAAAATTGTGTGCGTTCGTTTTTGTGCATTAAGGCAAACTAATGCACATTTGTGTAGTACCTCACATTAGAGCAGTGGTTGTCAACCAGGGGTACCCCTAGGGGTACTTAAAAAGGCTGTAGGGGGTATGCAGAACTCCACATGTGTGCCTGCAGCAGCAGCACAGCATGCAGGTGGCCAAGAGAGCAGCCTGGTCCGGCTGGTAAGTTTGTTGTGAGTGGGGCTGGGGCAGAGGCTGCCCAGCAGGGGCAGGGCATGGGAATGAGCTGCACAGGGGGGCAGCTCCCCCTGCTACGTGCACCCTGGGAGGTCATGGGGGGTGTGTGCCCCCGGATCTGCATGCAGGGCGTGGTGGGCCGGGGCCGGGGCCGGGGCCGGGGCCGGGGCCAGGGCAGGGCCGGGTTGTTCCTGACAGGGGTGTTGGGGACTACAGCAAATTCCGAGGTGGCTGCAGCCCTTCCCGTAGCACCCCTCCCAGCACTGCTGCTGCCCACCCTGAGCACAGCCCAGCCCTTGCCAGGAACAGCCCGGCACAGCCCTAGCCCCAGCCTGCCCATGCCCTGTACACACCCCAGGAGGGCATGGGGGGCATGTACCCCTGGATCTGCCCGCGGGGCGCGGCGGGCTGGGGCCAGGGCAGGACTGGGCTGTTCCCGGCAGGGGGGTTGGGCTGGACTGTGCTGGGAGCGGGGGGTTGGGGAGGGCTATGGTGAATTCTGGGGTGGCTGCAACCCCCTTCCACAGCCCCCCTCTCAGCGCCACCGCTGCCCACCCTGAGCACAGCCCTCTGCCAGGAAAAGCCCACCCCCCCCAACAACAAAATATATATAGAGGGTACATAAGCTGAAACTTTGAGACAGAAGGGGTACACTTGCTAAAAATGTTTGAAACCCCCTGCATTAGAAGTATTAAATGTAACGTGCATTAGGAAAAGTGTCTTAATGCACGTATAGACACGCCTGAGTAATACTATCACATCCCTCAATGTGCACCAGTACTACTCTCAGCTCCTTCTCACTGTCCCACCAAGGACTTTTTGGCTTGTGGATCAATGCATAGTTTACTCACTGAGTACTCTGTCCTTATTGTGCATTTAACCCATTCCCTGACTTGTGTTCCCTCAGGGATGGATCACTGAGTTTAATTCTTTAGCACACAAAGTTCTACAGTTCCACTACTGGGAGTGTCCACTTCTTCGGAGTTCAGCAAGATTTTGACCTTGTACAACTGGAAAGAACTGGGAAATTTACTCTTAAATCTTCAATTATGAACAACCCTCTGTAGGTGCATAGGATACACAATGGATAAAAGGTAGGAAGTGAACCAGGACCTGATCCTATTCCCATAAATATTTTGCTTGTCTGAGATGCAGCACCTCCAGGAGTGGCTGCTATAATGCCAAGGCTGCTCCTGAACGCGCTGGTTAGAGTCACAATTTACCCCTCTGTGTGAAAGCATTTTTAGCTAGGTATTGTAACAAGTGTTTTGGATATTCTGGGGCTGTAGACACTTGAGCAAAAGAAATGTTTTAAATGTTGCTTTTTCCACTTTTTAAAAACAGGGAAAAGACATTCATTTCACTTTAGAGAGAGAGAAAAGATGTTCTTCAAGTGGATTGTGCACTTAGCAGTTTGGTTCTTGGTGCAGGCAGTAACAGGTAAAATATGTTTTGTTTCTGAATGCTTAGACCAGTGGTTTTCAACCTGTGGTCCATGGACCCCGGGGGTCTGCAGACTATGTCTAAGGGATCTGCAAAAGACAGCTATAACTAGTGATCAGTCAAAAGTCTGTGAATACCCACACTTACAAATTTAAAAGGGGTCCACACTTCCATTCAAGATTTCCAAAGGGGTCCTCACCTCCATTCAGATTTTTTTAGAGGTCCGCAAATAAAAAAAGGTTAAAAATCACTGGCTTAGACAAAGCTCTTAAATATGCTAATTTTGTTTTTCTTTCAGTCTGAGTAGTTTGTTAGCAAATACTTTTCTTACCTTTGACTTCTTTAGGTGGTTGTTACTTCGTTGTCACCCTGTATTTGCTCTTTAATTCCCTTATAAAGTTCATTAACAGTAGATTCAACACTGTTAGATGGCAGATCCAGTACCTCTTTGCAGTTGCATCTGTTTGTAGTAGGTAAATGATAGTAGTGTTCTCATTTGACAGCCTCATACACCCACGGTGTACAGTTAAACTATACAAAGTGCAAAGCAAAAAGGTGCAATGGTTTTCAGAACAAAACATGCATAATACAAGCAAGAATGGACAACTTCCACAGCACTTACAACCAAAACTGAAAATGCAAATTCAAGGCTGTAGGCAGGAAATAACCTGTAGTAAGAGGTTTTTTGTCCCCCCTCTCCCCAATTAGATGACTGCTGTTGGTTATGTGAGGGATGTATCTTGCATGTAAATGATTGCCAGAAAATGACAAATAAGTAAATAGAAAATATGTTCTATCATTTTCCATTACCCACTTCAACTGGTTATAAAGTTGGTCTCCTTCCTCTCTTTGATTTTTATTGATTCCCAGGGTCTGAAAGGGCCATTTTACTTTAAAATAGTTTAACTTTATTTCCCGTTAGTGCTAACTTGGGTCATACTGTATGTTATGAAATAAAGCAGTTGGGCTTTTGTTCAGGATTCTTTTTTAATCAAATCAGTGAACATTTACTAAAGTGTACAATAAACAGGTAATAATCATTTACTAAAGTGTACAATAAACAGGTATAATCTAGAACCCTGAATTGTTGTGCAGCTACTAATGAAGGATTTTCTTTTGCCTTATAGTTCTTGCACTAATTAACTATTTGTTTTTCCCCATTGTATTGCAGAAAAATGCCAGAAAGGAAATATGTCTTCAAACACTGCTTCTCAAGTCTCGTACGGATCTAATATCACCCTCTCATGCCGGCTAACACAACACGAGCGATGCAACAAGATAGCCATATTCCATAATGGCTCTGACATAAAAAGCATTCATGGCACTGAAATAAGCACTGACATTTCAGTTCTTGACTATGGCAGACTTGTGTTTACTTGCAAATTGTTATGCGACTACACAAAAAAGCTCATTTGTGGAATCGATATAGAATCTGGAAGTAAGGAAACATTGGTTCGCTATTTGTTATTCTTGCGCATTCTCCCCTGGCTGGCAAGTGCACTGTGCCCCTGAGGACAGCTTCAAAAGCTGAAAATGGGAGGACTCCTTCCAAAAGGGCACCAGGGGATGGGTAGATTTAATTCACTTATACTAAAGTACTGTGGGCTGAAAGGCGGTTACCTAGACCAGGCAACATGGTACCCAAAGGGCTCTGCATATACTGAATACCACATATGGGAGGATGTATGTGACAAAATTGTCTTTGTCTCCTTGTCATTTCTTTGGGGACAATTTGGACACATGCATCACTGTCCCTGTGTGTTTGTGTATTGTCCTTCCCCCCACGAAACAAACTGGATTAATGTGGCACAAACATTTGGTGTGGAAGGGAAAGATCCTCAGGAAGTGTTATATGGAAGGGTCCACGACAGTATGGGTCTGGGAAAGAGTCCGATATAGGGACTACTGGAAAAGGGTCTCTGAATAGATGGAGCTGGCTTCCAGGTGATCCCCAGATCTGTGGTTTGGGGGCAAGGCAAGCTCCGTGCAGTCCTCCCACCCCAGCAGGGATCATAAGAATCTGTGTTAATGGGATCCCAGAGCATTCAAAGTAGTCTGTATTAACTGGTGTGGTGCAAGGGGTGTTTCCCGTTGGTGTGTTTTGTTTTAAGGGGCCAGCAGTGAGTTGCTGTAAGCAAAGCTTTTGGACCTGATTCTGTAGAGAGCTGTGCACATTTAGGCTCATGTCCATTGGGAGCCTCCTGTTAGGAGAGACAAATTGTGCAGAATAGTCAGTGATGATTAGGCCCTTAGCTTGGTCTCCTGTGAAAAAATAGCCTGATTTAAAGGATAGGTGTGTTCTAAACAGGGCCTAAAAACACAAAAAACATACCAGACTTCTCATGTGAAAAACAGTTACCTATTTCTTCTCCAACTATTGACAAGAAAATCTGCTTAAGATCCTCCAGATCAGCCAACAAATGTATCCTGTATTCAGTTTGGAGAAGATGGCAATCCAACTTGTAGATGGGATAAAGGAAGATTTACCCACATAAACACTACATACATGCTGCAGTAAGTAACTGATGGACGGGGATCCCTTAAACGTAGAAGCAAGTAATATCTCCGTGGGCAAAAATCTTTACTGTTTCTGGCAGACCAACTCCTTTTTATCAAGGTAGAAGTTTTTTAGGGAGGAGCAAAGTAGAGGTAGTGCAAGATTCCCAGGGAACTAAAGGTTATTCTAGTTGCATACAGCATCTGTCAGCTCATGTTTTTATCTATAGCAGCACAGCCCCTACGTGACCACAAGAGTACAAAGACTGCATCATGTTCCAAGTGATGCTTTCCCCTTGGAAGTTAATGTTTAATACTGGAAAGCAGCTTGCTCTGCTCCAGGGATGCCCTCACTTACTCTCTGGCCTGTTCCTGTATGACTGGAAGTACCTCCAAGAAGAGACCTAGAGCCTATAGCAGCAGTTCCCAAACTGCAAGTCATGACCCCAGATGGGGTCGCAAGATCAGTGGATGGGGTTGCAGGGGTAGGGGGGCTGTGGGTTGGGAGAGAGGGGCCATGCTGAGGAAATGGGGCATAAATGGGGTCATGCTGAGGAAAAGTTTGGGAAGCACTGGCCTATAGCTGTGACTTGCAACCTGGCTAGTGGCAATGGCTTAGAAATGTGTTATCCTCCTTTGCTGCTCAGATACCAGAGATAGAAGAGAGATTTAGTTTCTAATCCTATTAATACCCCCACCAGAGCAGACCAGAGTCCACTGTGGAAGCTTTCCAACAGAGGATGACGGTAGGGAGCTGCACACAAACTTTGCACCTTGAGGTGCCAGGAGAAGTAAATCAAGTCTCTTTCAGTCACAAAGTACAGGAGATGACAAGCACTTTATCAAGACCTCTTTCCACTCAGAATGGTGTTTTGCCCTTTGGAGACAGCTGAACACGTTGAACTGCCCTCCAGCCAGAATGGCCTCCCAAAGGCTTTTTGTATCAGCTGGTTCCCCTTTCCCTCCTGGTATGCAGAGGCACAGCTGGGCAGCTGCACACCTGCACCAGCCACATGATACCTGGGCAGGGCTGGCTGCCACAGTGCAAGTCAGCTGCCATTGCAGCCGCAGGTATTTTTGTGCCCCCTGCCCCCCAAAGTTAGTGCCCAGGGCTGTTAATTGGTTGCCCCATTCCTAAATTAAACTACTGATGTAGTTTAATACTGATGGTCAGTATTTTTAGTTCTGGTTACCAGATAGCATTGCTGTTTGTACAGGTAATATAGGCAGTCCTCTGACATACGACACAATTGGTTCCTGAAAACCGTGTCTTAAGTCAAAAAGTTGCAATTCAGAACTGATTTTCCCATTGGAAGCAAAGTTATAAATGGGGGATTGGTTCCTGAACCAAGGCCTGATACCCTATTTTCACCAAAAATAACCCAGAGTTTTGTACTTAATCAATTATAGATGAGTAATAGAGCTACATTAATTACAGATAATATAGCTACATTAATAGAAGGTATGATTTTGAAAACGAGTTCTAGTTTTTTGTATAGCTACATTAATGTATTTATATTGTAAATAGCAATCATACTGATTTGGAAGGACTTCTTTGAAGTGACGTTGTTGGACTTTTTGAAGGGCTCTTGGGAGGGAGTCTTGGCTGCAAGTTTTTCTGGAGTCTTGTCTACTTTCTTAAAGAAAGTGTCCAGATGTTCTCCAGGGAGATGGGCGACGCAGCGAACTTGTTCGCTGGCATGGTGTCACGCTGAATCAAGCATTGTAAAGTCAAAACTGATGTCAGAAAGTTGAAACAGGGTGTCAATTTATAAATGTTGTAAGTTGAGGACTGCCTGTAGAAGCTTGACACCCTCCAATCCAAAAGTATGATGAGAAATCAAATGACAAGTAAAAGGAGGAAAATATGTGAAGAATGTCTCAGATTTTTCTCACAGTACATTTGACAGTTAATTAGCATGTCTATACCTTTGTGCATCTTCACAGCACTTTACAGCCCTTAACTAAGATAGGCTAGTCAGCCACAAACACCTTGTCATGCAGATGCAAGCATCTCTACTTCAGAGGTTAAGAGAAGGAGGCAAGGAGGTTAAAGGGTTTGCTCACTTAATCTCAGACTGAAAGTTAGTGACAGACCAGAAGGTGTTATTGGTGGACTGGGACTATCCTAGTCAATCTTATGGCTTTAAGTTCTGTGTTTGGACAACTCTTTCACATAAACTATGCAAAAAAAAAAAAGACATACCAAAAACAAACAGACAAAACTCCTAGTCACCACATACCTCTCTGCTCACTGTTCTTAACAAAGACAATGTAGTTTATTTTTCCATTGTTATAGAAGTAATCTACCCAAATACTTGCAGCCCAGCATCATTTTAGCAGTTTGCTTTACATTTGTGGTATAAAGTATTTAAACTAGGGGTATCAAACATATGGCTTGCATGCCAGATCTGGCTTGTGGAGTTGCGTGATCTGGCCCATGGGGTCACTGTTCCAACCCATCCCCAGTCCCCCACATTGCATGCAAAACGTGGGCTGGACTCAGTGCCACATGTTCTGCACACAACATGGAGTTGGTCCAGGGCAGGCACTGCATGTGTTGCCCTGATGGCACAGCCCTGCGTGCTCGCTCTGGGACTAGTGCAGATTAGGCCATGCTGGGATGAGCACAAAGTGCCAGTCCAGTGGGATGGTACATGCCATAGACTGGCCACCTGTGCTACATGCAATGTGCCTGGCCAGTTCAGGCCAGTTCATGCACTGCATGGAGCACACACTGGCACCAGGGCTCACTGTGCATGCAGCGTTAGCACAGGGAATACTCTGGATGTGACATAGTGGGGCTGGGGCAAAGGCTGCATGCAGTGCTCTGGACCAACTCCTTGTGTTGCCTGCAGCACTAGGTCCAGGCTGCACAATGCGGGCAGTGCATGCCCTGTGTTAGCCCCATGTGCACAGAGAGCTCTGGGGCCACCATATGCTGTGTGCAGTATGTGAGCTTGGCCCAGCTGCCATGAGCACTGAACAGGGGGATCAGTCCTAGTCTGGCCTCTAGTTCAACACCTGTGGTTTAAAACAACTACAGTTAAGTGCTAATCTGTCAGATCATGTCATTTCTTCTCCATTAGAAGTGGCCATCAATTGAAGAAGGTTGTATATTAATGAGAAGAAACAATGCCAGATTCCCACCTGGTCTAAACCTGCATAGTTGTCCAGAGATAAAGAGGGAAGTTCACCCTGTTACATCTGTCCCATAGAATGTGTGTTGAAAACTTTAAGCAAGAATTGCTCTTCTTTTCTAGGCTGTCAAATGGAACAGATATCTTCAGTTTTTTAGAAGAGAATGTGAATAATAAATATGGCTTACTGGATCTGAGAAAAAAGCTGAATTTTGAATCCAGTTACACAGCTGTGGTTGCTGCTTCAAATGGACTGGGAAGTGCTTTTTCACAGCCACTCACATTCATGTTAATAGACATAGGTAAATGTTTATTTTAGTGTATTCTGGGTGCTTGGTAAGAAATGTTTGAATATGCCAGTGCAAATCTAAATAAATGTAATAAGTAGTCTGAATAACTAAAGGGCTATTGCTACTACAGCATTACATTTTACATTCTACCGTATATCTAAGTGGCCTTTTTTTGTCTTTGCTACTAGTGAAACCTCGCTCCCCAACAGATGTTACAGTGAAATTTGACAATAATTCTGCAACAAATTGCACCATTTTGTGGCAGGATCAACAAGCAACACAACGCTTTAGACTGAGATATCGACCAATTACCAGCCAGCAGTGGACTACGGTAATACTACTTTGTGGTGGGGTGGGACTGGTTGATTATTGGGGTTTTCTTTACTATAGTTATATGAATAGTCCCACTGAAGTCAGACATTTGAGTCTTTGCCAGAGAAGAACCTGAGTGTTTGGCACAACCCTTTGTTCACACACAAAAGTATTTCTGACTTTTTTTTTATAACTTAAAATGAAATCACATAGCTTCCATTTGTTAAGTTAAACAAGTACCCCACCTCCCACTGAAGTTAATGGAGGCCTTTAAATGGGAGCCAAGTCAGGCTTCAAATAAATGTAATAGCATAAAAATGTAGAAATAGTGTGTAAAACATTAAACTGTGGAAGATGTGATAATCTACCCATAGTTAAATAGTGGGCTTTTCCCCCCCCTAAAGAATTCACAGAATTGCAAGTCTTTGCAAGAATTCATTATGGTTCTTTTATCATAGGTTATTCGAAGCTGCTCAGAATTAGTTTTTCATTAATTTTAAAGGGGTTTTTTTGCTGCACATGATTCAAACATAAAAAATTCAGAGCATTGCTGTCTTTAGCCCTTATTAAATATGCTTAAACCTTAATTTCATTAAAGGTTAACTGGTTAAGTACTAGAAGATACAGCCTGCATGATCAGAAGCCACATACAGAGTATGAATTTCAGGTTAGCTGCAGGTTTCATCCCAGCCGTGGAATATGGAGTGACTGGAGTACATTTCAAACACGGACTCCGGAAGCTGGTAATAAAAAAAAAAAAATGTGCAGGTTGTTGCATTTAGCTTGTGTGTAAAAATCTGTATAGAAATAATTTGAGAACAAGTTAAACCAAATGCATACAAAATCTGGGGCAAGTTCTACTCAGGTACAGTGGTGTAAATCCAGAGAGAGAGACGGACAAGAACATTTTTCAGTGTTTCTGAAGCTCTGCATGTAGCTTAGAGTCCCAGAAGCCCGCCAAGCTGAGAGCCAAGAAGCTAGTAGAGCTTGGGAGCCAGGCAGCTTGGAGAGCTGTGGTCGTTTAGTTGGGGAAAAAGCAAAACCTTTTTTTCTCACCACCTGTGTTAATTGAGTAGCACAGCAACCCAGGATTCAGTCTTTGCTCACAGATGTCCTGAGTAACCAAAAGCATTAGGATGCTGTGCCTGAGGGGCTACTGGAAACCTAGTGGTGATGAATCATAAACAGCGCAAGTTGAGAACCAGTGTTCCTAGATCTCCATGAGCTGGGAGCAGCTAACCAGGGGCAAGACTGGCAGACTGCTGAGGAGCCTGGTGAGCGGGCTAGAAAACTACCTGATTTGTCTCATCCAGGAGCAGAGAGAGCAAGCTAAGCAGTGTTAGTCTGAAGGCAAGCGGGAGGTGGGGCAGCACCTTGAGGTGCCTGCAGATGTGTAAGACGTCTCCTCCAACGTGCTGTAATTACAGTGTGGTGGCGTAGACTTAATTAATTTAGTCTGCTGGAGAGTGCTAATTATCATGCTAATTAGCATGCTCCAGCAACCTCAGTGTCTCATGTATTGAGCCTCCCTGTTCTTCAAAATGGCGGTGGGGGCACTTTAACTAAAGCTCATTTGACAAGCTCTAGTTAAAGTGCCACCTTTGTCACTGAAATGCAGGACGCTGAATGCACAAGTCCCTTGAGCTCCACACTGTTGTGACAGAGCAGAATCTGGCCATTTGTACTGGAAGCAGCTAAACCCACAATAGAGTATGAGATGAACATGAGGCATTTTCACTACTCTGCGCATTAGGAAGAGCTGACATTTCCAGGAACATACAGCCTGACCGAAGAGATTAATATCAGTCACTGCCAACTCTAATATCAGATGCATGTTGCTCATGCTGTGGGGTCATATGTCTGCTGGCTTGACTTCAAATTGAACTGTATGCAGCAAGGTCCTACAAAGTTTCAGTTCTCAAATGAGAGTTTCTGGAAGTCTGCATTCAAAGGTGTGCTTAGTTTCAACTTCTTTTATCTTAGGTATACCTTTCCTTCCACCTCCCCCCCCCCCTTTTTTTTTTTTTTTTTAATTATTAGCAGAATGGGGTTGGTGTTTCAGTCTCCTTTTTTGCAAGTTACTAAGATATTTACAGGATCTTACAATTACTCACCCTGTTTGCCACTACTGACAGCATCACTTTCTGTATGAAGCATTGATTGCTACAAGAAGGTGTGAACTCCCCTCCCCCCTCAACAGTTTCCTTCACTTAACTTTCTGGATGCCTGTTGAGCTGCTAGATTTCAGCTCAGTGAAAACATTTCAGTTAGGACAGCTTGCAGGGAAGCATTTAGCTGGAAAAATGGCAAAACACACAACATGAAACAGGACTGTCCAATTTCTTAGCAACCCAGGGCTGCAAATTGCATGGGCTGCACCAGCAGGGCCTTATATTGCAGGGGCTGCATTAATGTAAGCTATGGGCTCCCCAGGCACACCACACTGGGCACATGGATGCACTGGCACAGGTGCCCCAGTCCTACCCTCAGCTTCCTGAGTGAGGGAGTGGCATCACACTGGTGCCCAACGTCATGGGGTGGTGCAAGAAGCAGACACCAGAGGGAAGAGGAGCCCCAACCTTCTGGATGTTGCAGACAATCCTTTCATTGTTTTGTTACTTTACTGGTTGCTTGTGGTAGAGAATGATCTCACAGCGAGCCATGTTCCAGGCTGTCCCGTTCCACAGCAGGGGGGCAGGGGTGGGGATGACGACAGAGGGACCTAACCTTCTTTTACAACCCAAGCAGAAGCCACCTGGAGCTAGCAGGGATTCCCCTGCTAGAGCTAAGGTCTGGTATGAGGGTAGTGGAGCTGAGGCTTGCCGGGATAAGGAGTTATCTTGAGGCAAAATTGGTCTGTTCTTCAGGACAAGCAGCAAGACAGTAGGAAGAGACTTAGAGCTCTGGGAGCACAACCAGATGTGTTTATGACAATGACCATCTCTCATTTTTATGCCCTAGATATGAAGGGGTACCCCAGAATGTTATTGCCTCCTTTGTTTTAGGGCCATTCCTGGTATAATCGGTCTGTAGTCCTGCTACTGGTGCTCATCACCCATCCAATAATACATTTCTTAAGTGCCCTCATCTCTGACCATTATACATGGGCCAAGTTATAAGACTGTTGTTAACAACATCATTACTATTAACATTTTGCTGATATGCGTCACAGTGCTCTCATTAACACTCATTTTCTTTTCCAACTAGTGCCAGTTGGGCTGTTAGATGTGTGGTACGTAATGCAGGATATAGATTCCCAAAGACAAACTGTTACTCTCTTTTGGAAGGTAAGAGTCTCTTAATATAAAGTGAATTAAAAAAAAAAAGAAGGTAAAACAGTTTAGGGCACAGACCGTGTCGACACAGGATTCAGCCTGAGGAAGACGCAGCTAACCTGCGCTTGTGGTGTAAGGGAAATTGAGTCTTCTCTTTATTGGCTGGTGCAGAAAGGATGCACCAGGAAGGGCAATCAGACAGACTAGCTGGTGCCTAGCGGAGAAGGTTTTTTGGGTTTTTGTTTGTTTGTTTGGTTTGGTTTGGGTTTTTTTTTGGTGGGGGGGGGGGGGGGGGGGTTGGTCTCAGAAGCTGGAGAAGCACACAGCCTGAGAAATAAAAGCATACCCCCAATTAGCATTTTTTACTCTTTTCCTTTATAAGGCTTATCCTCGCAGGTAATTTCACCTCCCTTCCCAGGGGATAAGGGAAAATAATATTCACACCCTCATCCCCAAGTGTCCTAATCTCTTCCTCTTCCCTGCTAGCAGTGAGAACTGAAATTTAAGACATTCTGGAATCTGAGGTTTGAAAATGCAATCTTTTATTCAGAAGAGGAGGAGAATACATCTTCCCCCCTGCCCGTTTTGCATTGTTATTGGCAGAGTTGTGCCATCCAAGTAAAGACCAGGGCAAGGAAGATGTTGCCTACAGCCCTGTACACTGCATGAACAGGCTCCCCTCTGCTGCTTTCAGAAAAATCTTTTGCTCATCTTCCTTTCTCTGCAAGACAAATCGAAGTTGAATCACCACATGAAACTTGTGAGTGACAGACACTACAACCAGAAGAGTCCTCTTATCTTGATCTTCTGTAATTTCCAAGTAATTCTTGGGGCCCTCTAGTGATACCAGAATATGAAACTACTAGCAATATCCCATTGTACTGGCTTGACTTGCCTCCTGGAGGCGCTGAACAGAAAAACAAACAAACAAAACAAAACAAAAAACACACAAAACCAAACCACAAGTGTCTTTGCAGACAGTAAGAACATTGAATTTCTCCAGTATTGCGAACATGCATAACTCGCAGAAAAAAAAAAATCTTTATATTTACTTAAAAAAATTAAAGAGTTCATTTTTTTTGCATTCTGCTTTTGAGTCTTCAGGCTACTCAAGTCACATTGTCAAGCTTCTCTTTAGAAGCATGAGGCTGAGGCCTTGTTAAGTGAAAGTACACATTCTTAAATAATACTTTGACTCCAGTAGTTGCAGCTTTAAGATGCAAGATTTGCAATAGGATCAGGGAGTTAGCAACATTTTCTTTAGCAGACCAGACATCCAGCAGCCTCATTTATATGATACAAACAGAGTGAGATCATAGCCATGATGGTATAGGAAAGAAGCAAGGGGCAAGGATTTTTGCGGATGATATTTTTATTAGACTAACCACATGTCCAATGTGGTACTTAGACTTTAGTGTTCACTGCAACAGTAAACAGAGTATTGCACAGTCAAAAAGGTGTTCTGCATGCGCTTAGTTTTTTTGCCATAAAGATGAAAATATGAAAGTGACACTATCAGTTTTATTTCAGATCGGTTTCAAATAAGGTCTTCAAGGTAGTTTCAGTTACTATATTTGCCCTGGGTCCCTGCCAGTTTGATTATAAAATTGCTTTTTTTTTTAAAGTGTTTTCTTGCTGCATGAAAGAACCAGACAAGACCAAGTCAGTCCACTGTAGAGAGGAAACAGTGAAACAGAGCAGAGTTTTTTGTGCATCTGAAAGAAACGGGTTTTTCTCCTCTAATCTCTGTTGTAGTAATCTTAGGTATTGTTTGTAACAGGATAGGTAAAAGAAAAGTGTGATGCAACTCAATTCGTGTTATAAGGATTCCACCTCTTGGCTTCTGCTTTTGGCAAAACACAAAGTCCAGTCCTAAACAATGTTCGTTATCAATTTAGTAGCAGCACACACAGATTTTTAGTGAGTCTGTGTAACTGGAGGCATGGGTACATTCTTTGCCCAAAGTGGGGGAAGAAGGACAGAGACAGAGAGCTTGTACTTTTCCTGATGTCAGTAGAGTTCTGCTTCTACTTTTTTTTTTTTTCCTTTTTTTTTCCATTTTTTTTTTTTTTAAATGAACAGAGATGATCACCCAAACCACAAATTCGTTTGGGGGAGGATGGGCCCTGTTTGTGGAAGGCAGAGCTGGAGCCCAGCCAACTCACTTTAGGGGCCAGTGCCCAGCTATGCAGGATGGCAAAAAGAACAAGCTTCCTCCTTAAGATCTCACTTTCAGCAGCAGTTTAATCAACCCCTTAAAGAATGGAGGTCATGGGTGATTGGCTCACCCAACACCAAGAGAGAGTTAGGAAAGATCACAGACACACCCCCTGGAGCCGTGAGGACTGTTGTTTGGGGACAAAATGCTGAGACCATGATGCTGGGAAGGATGCTGCTCAAGGGGGTGCAGGCCCTCACCAAGGAAGGGGGTAGTCTTGTATGCACTTAGTAGCCGAGGACATGGCAACTGGTACTTCTAGGTCACACAGAATGCACTTCTGCTTCTTCAAATACCCAGGCCTTTTCTATTGTGAAAATGCATTGCCTCTAGAAGCAGATGAGCTGGCTTGCAGCACATTTCTGACAAGGGATTAGAGTTAGTGCCATAGGGGCTCACTGAGATTATAACTACAATACCCGCCTTTTTTTTTGAGAAGAGAGAGTAAGTAGGAAGTGACAGCCTGTTATAGAAGAACTGAAAGTAGTCAGCATGCATGTCATTTTCTAGCAAAGGCGGCTATTACTATAAATAGCTTGCTTATTCAGAAAAGCATTACCTCATCTTGAAATAATTGGAATGGGTAAGGGCTGAGTTGATTCAGAGCCTCAAACTACATATTTTAAGAAAGTTTTGGAAGTTCAAAGCACTTCCTGAGTAAGTAGCCAATTTGAACAAAGTGACCCTAAAGTGACAGACCATAGTCCTGACGGTCATTTGTTCTAGCAACTGTTCTTGACAGCCTTCCAGGTATCTCAGGTTGTTTCCAGTTCCTCAGACAGCAAATAAGTGAGAGGCAAGACTGAACCTTTCCTGGAAAGGAAGAAAGGCATGTATTGGTATATTATTTCCAGGAAGTAATAACTCTCTTGATTACCTTCAGAAGACTGTCTGAATTTAAGGCCCTATCGAACAGGCCTTGCCTTGCACAGAAAGAACCCTTGGATATCGTGGGGTTGGAAGAAAGACCTTGGTGGAGAAACTGTAGCCCAATTGCCATGTGTACACACTTAGAAGAACTTGTTAGTGGTACAGGAATATCTTTCACCATATTAGTCCTATTTATTAAAAAAGACCAAGGATTTAACAGCTTTGGTTGGCCACCCCTGAACTAGAATGACTAAAAAGATAGGGGTGCCAGAAGTGGTACAGGCAGCCTCTGTGTGGCACACAGCAGAGGACAGGCAGCATGGTGGCAAGTAGCGCAGGAAGGAGTGCAGAAGATCAGGCAGAGGAAGAGGATTCAAGTGGCACTTAGGGAACTGCTAGTCTGTGGCACAACTGCCAAAAAGGTGTCCCTCACTATTCTAGTTAGTGCTTACAGGACTGATATAGGCCAAAAAACCTGTTCATTAGTTACTGCAGTAAGAGGACACAGGCAATTAAAAGTTCTTTTTTGTACATAAGCAGTGATTATTTTCCTTTGCATTTCTCAGAAACGATTCATGTCCTCTTGTATTGTAGGAAAAATTACTCCAATGCCAGATATGTCAGCTTGACTCCCCCTCCAGTTGCAACACTTAAGTGCATCTCCAGTTCAATGGCTTTTTGTCGTTGGTTACCATACTGATATTTGTTGCTGCTCTTGTAATTAGAGCCTAGCTCAATGTTAGTTGTTATTTACTGGAAGAGTCAGAGAGACTCAGATTTCTAGAAAAACAACACTTAAGACATACTAACAAGATTTGTGAGCAGAGCAGAAATAGAAATGTAATGCAAGAGAATGTAAGAAAAGATCCTTTGCTGCATTTCAGTGTGGAAAAAAGGTAGCATCATTTTCAGTAAGCTACAATGGGATTTTCAAATGGGGATGAACCTGGATTCCCAAATTCCATTTTCCCTATTTGATTTGGTACCAACTGCCTCGAGCTTCTTTGAAAACTCCAGCCTCAGACATGACTTCAGCTGTGGCAGAGAACGTAGTTACACAGAAGCAAGATTAGAATTAAATTTTAGATGTACACAAAGTTAAACAGCTTTTTTCCCCCTGGGGTTTAAACAAAGCCAAGTAGCATTGCTGAACTCAGGGTTGTTAGCTAATGGAAACATCTTTATGGATGCTGACACTGCTTCCTAGAGCCACCAGAGGACAGAAGTCATATTTTACCACAGATCCAACAAAAAGAAAGAAAGGAAAAAACTTAAAGTTTTGTCTCCCTCTCTACATTGAAGGGGAAGTAAGACAGTCATATTTCCCTTAAAGAAAATCCCATAGAATTGAACAGGGAGCAACTTTCCTGTAGCATTTTTAAACCAACCTGTAGATTCCTGAACTACAGATAGAATTATTCTAATTTTATAGGTTAAGGCTAGGTACAGACATTCAAAGACCCAAGGTGTAAGTGATCCAAGATGCATGGTTTTCTGTGAGCAGTGTAGTGTAGATCAGAACACACATTTGCCCTTCTGTGGGTGTCGGGGAGGGGCAAATCTTAGACTGGGTTCCACCATTTTAAACCAGTCTGTGTGCGCCAAATTTCTGTTCTAGTATGGGTATAGACTGCTTTCTGATCACTTACACTGGTAAAAGTGTAATGTCTGTACTGCCCCAAGTTCCCTATGGCCATTGCAAAAGATGTAGTAGCTCCCCACTAGTTTTTGTGCATTGGTGGCCTAAAAGTATTGTGAAGTGGTAGTCATTAGAACAAAAAGAGATTGCTGTGCAATTAGTAAATGACTGGGATTTTCTCTGCCAGAGATTTAATGAGCATCCTGGCATAGAAGTATAACTTTTAAGGCCAGTGTGGCCTGTTAAATCATCCAGATAAGTTTCCTATAAGAATGCCATAGGACTTCAGCCAGCATCTCATTGTTGTGTTTGCCATTTCTCTAACAATAATAGATGCTTCCAGCACCTAAATGAACTGCTAATATTTCGTAAGACTTTCATAACAAAAGCAAGACAGACCGACTGACCAACCCATGCCCCCCCTAGAAAGAACACCCCCCCCCCAAAAAAAACCAAAACTGTACCAAGATCTGCATCTAGCATGTACCCATCTCTGCTAGAATATTTTCTTTTCTTTTTAAACTGAGCAGAAATGAAAGGACCTGCTAAATAGGGCCTGGTTTAAATTGTGATTTCACATTTTTGTGAAAGGTCACAGAATTAAGAGATTTTCATGGAAAAAAAAAAAAGTGATTTGCAATGAAATGCCATGGTATGGCCACTTGGCTGCTTGCTGGGAAACTCCTCAGCAAGCAGCCATATTGTGGCATTTCGTTGCAACAAGATAAATGCTGCAGGCTGGGGAAAGCATTCCCTAGCCGGCACCGAAAGCCTAGCATCCCCGGGGAAGGGGTCAGAAAAGGCACGGGGAGGAGAAAGCTTGGGGATGGATAGGGGAAGGGCTGTTTGCTCCTCCAGGTGGGAAAACTGGGGTGCTGGGGGAGACAACACACAAGCTGTCTCCTCTCCCAATTCTGCTCCTTTTGCAACCCCCACCCCGGGCTGCTAGACTTTTGCCTCTGGCTGGGGAATGCTCAGTGCACTTCAGCCAATTAACTTCAAGTGAACAGAGCCCTGAAATGTGCTCCAAAAAGCTTTTGTAGATCTCTACCGCACTTCCCCCTGCTTCATTTTTCTGATCCCCCTGCTATTTTCCTGAGGGTAAGTTACAATTTGTTTTTCATTGTAGGCTTTAAGTGAATCAAAAGCAAGAGGAAAGATCCTGCATTACAGTGTGACCTTTCAAGAAGAAAGCCACAGAAGTCCTAAAGCAGCAGAAGTGAACACTACCACGCAAACTCACTATGCTAAGGTTATCCCCACGATGAACTATAACATAACGGTCTGTGCTCATAACTCAAAAGGAACCTCTCCTCCTACATCCATTAGTACTCATCTGAATGTTTTAGGTAAACACCTTTGCTGCTTGAATCGATAGAAGTGATATTGGGTATGTGCGCACATTACATTCTTCGTGCTAAGAACACCCTTCCTGCACTAAAGACCAACACATGCAGCCACTTTGTAACAACAAAAAATGGCAGATTTACTACAAATATTCCTCTTTACACAGGAGAGAGGAACTTCTTTGTAGCAGGGTGTCTTGTAGCACCATATGCAATGTCTGTATTCTGACGTGGCACTACAGAGGGGCCCCTGGGCCCCCAGCATCCGTAGTCCTCTGCTTGCACATTATCCCTTCCAAGGTGGGAGAGAGAACAGATGGTTCCTTCACAGCCTGTAGTACTACAAAAATAGCATACATTTAAGGCCATTGTCTCCATCTTGGGCAAAGGAGTGACATTCTGTATGCCGAGACAAATGCTTCTGCAGCACAAGACTTATAAAAAGCTATCCTTTTACTTTGTACTAATTAAGATTAGTTTTGATCAGTCTTAAACAATTGTTCATTTGTAATAATGTTCATAACCAATTAGTAGCAGGATTTCCTGTAAGCACTTGTGACCTTGTAACAGTTTTTAGTAAATGAACTCAATTAGCCATGATTAAGGGATGACAGCAATCTAGACTAGCACAGATTGCTTTCTGGTACAGAAGTGTCAGTGCTTATTTGCAATGTAAATAGGATCCCTCTTAGTGCTTGTCCATGTCTGTGGTAGTAATGAACTCTGCATGTCCTCCACATGTTGCTTATTTTGTTATGCATTAACATCCTCCAGGTACCTCCCACAAAGGCAGCCTGATCTACCTGCTCAGATCACTAGCATAGACCCTGTTCACTGTCTAAATAGAAAGGCGTATAGACACCATTGCTACATGGCTATTTTGTGGGTAAAAGAGCTACTTTATGTATGCAATTCAGCTACCATTGTCTTATAGTCAGATTATATCCAATGCTCATCCTCAGGTAGGCAGAAACTTGATGATCCAGCTTTGGTATCAGTTTCCCCTTCTACAGGGAAAAGGGACACAGGCTGAACGTGAAGGCAAGGGTTTCACCCTTGCGTGGAGCACGTGCACTTGTGACTCTTGCCTGGAAACGAGAGCCAGGCGGTTCCTGAGTGCAAGCAGCATTAACAGCAACTCAGGGTTGGGTATAGATGTGTTAAGCTCTGAATACTTTGACTGCCATCTCATGATGCAACATAAGCCTGTGGGTTTGGGAAAAGGATGAGGGGTAGGATTTTGCACCATTATTTTGTCTCTCACATATCATTCCTTTAAATCCCCTTTTGCCTTATACAGTAGTTTGGTTTATTGCTCCAACTGCAGGTGAGACCTGGCAGTGGATGTGTCGAGAACAGGTGCTGTTTAAGCTGTTGCACCCATTCTTCTAAGAGGGTTACCGGTGCCAGATGGCTCCTGCTTCTAAATATTAGATGACCTATGAGTGCCTAATAGGGAGAACAACCAATTGAGCTGCACTCCAAGGCAAGTGTGCATAAGAGCTAAGGGTACAACTTCATCCCAATTGCTTCCTGCGGCATCCACTTTTTTTTAAGTCAATTTTAATGGTCCTATTAATTTTTCCCTGAAGCCTGTATTTAATTAGCAGTAGGAAATTTTAACACTCCAGCCCTTTTACTAGTTTCAATAGATTTAGTCTGTCAATAAGCCATGACTCTGAAAATGGCTGCTTTTATTACGTGTACATTGCAGAGCATTAAGCTGCAGAAAGGCAGCAGCTACAATTAAAAGATGCACTATGTCAAATCTGTTAATCCAAAATACAACAGATTGTGAAAAATAGGTAGTATCTACCACTTATAAGAGGTTAAAGAAGCATAACAACATGTTTGTTATGATCTTCCCCCTCCCCTCCACCTGCTCCCTTAAGATTTACCTCCTCCTCGGAGCGTCTTTGCTACATCAAAGGGGAACAACAGCATCTTTGTCACTTGGGAGCCTCCCAGTAATCCTTCATCATTCATCAATGGATACATAGTGGAATGGGTAAGAAGACAGAGAAATACCAGCTCCAGACACCATCTAAACTGGATAAAGCTTCTGGCATCCGACTTGTCTACAGTCATTTCAGGTAACTGTAATTTAGAAGTAGAACGTTATTGAAATATCATTCCATTTAGAAACGCTCCCACGGAGTGAAGTTGTTTCGAAGAATTTTTAAACATATTCATTGATCACCCTTCCCTAAGTCAAGTTCTGCATGGTTATATTGTCAGTAATTCCTGAATGTTTGTAACTGATAAGTAGATTTTTATTTTTGTTTAAATGGACTGTGAATAGTCATCCTTTCCATATGAAATAAGATGAGTGCTGGACAAACCCCTGAACTCTGCAACAAAGCATACAACTCCATCACCTTCCTGAGTCAAACAATGGTTAATTATTCATCCCAGCAAGTCCCAAAGGATCAGTGCAGAGCATGCTGAAGAACTATCTAGATATTAAAATAATAATGAATAACAAACTAAATTGGCTGTGCTACTACTATTGCACATCAGCTTGCTCCCAACTGACTTCACAAGGACCTCACTATCTTGTTCTCCACCAGAGGAAAACAAGTTACTAGCATCCCACAAGCCACAGCAACCCTGTGCAGCATGTATATTAAACCTACAAGCTGCTTTACACTGCTTGCTTCTCTTCTGCTTCCCTATAACTAAATTGTGCGAAGAGATTTTCTTCAAGCTTTCATTCACCAGTGGCAGCCAGAGCGGTATCCAGTCCACAAACAGGTGTTCACATTCCAGAACAGCTTGTGTTCTAGCCTGCCCATGGATACATTTCTCACACACACCGTTCAAGACTGCCAGACAAGAGGCTACGGTTATCAGCAGCTTTTTGCTCCATTTGAAGAATAAAATAGAATCTCAACCCCAGTGTAATTTACTAAGTGAATAATATTTTGATTACATATCCAGTGTTACCCTCTTCTTTCAGAGAACATAAAGCATCGTGCATGCTATCACATCAATGTATTTGCACTTTATAACAATAGAGCTGGACAAGTGGCTTCAACCAGGGGATACTCAAGACAGGAAGGTAAACTATGGTAATACCATTTGAAGTATTATGTTTAAACAAGCTTGACCATTTGACTTTAAAAAAAGACAGTCTTGTTTTTTGCAGCACCAGCAGCTGGACCCCAGGTTTACGCAACAGCAGAGGCAGACGGCGCTCGGGTTTCATGGGATGAAATCCCCGACCATCAGCAAATGGGCTGCATCACCAGTTACAACATATACTTGCGGAACAAAAACGCAGAGGTGGCCCCTAAGATCTACAGTACGTATCTGGTGAAAAGGCATAGTAGTAGCTTTGTTCTCATGTAGAGTGTCACAGTAGGAGTCCTATGCTCAAGACTTGCAAAGTGAATTTGGAAAGCTGTAGAGGAGCTGATCTTGAGCTGACCTTCCTCAATAATTGGGCCAAGGTTCATATTCAAGGTTCTGGTCTGGGCTCTGCTTAAAAGACCTGGAGAGGCAACAGGAATACCAGGTTTTTAAGCTACTTTAAAATTCTCACTTGCACCAGCATTTAGGTATGTCACCTTGCCTGCATGCAGCTATTTGCTTAAACAGTACCCGGTGTGGTCTCTTTAAGTAGTAGATTAAGTTAGATAACAGGCTTTCTGAGAAACTATAGGATGTACACCCACACCAGTGAAGAGTTTACCAGATGGGGAGTGCATTTGTGCATACACACTTCCCACACATTCTTATTGTACCAGTCATTCATTATAGCTCCTAAACCAGAAAACAAACAACAAATGGTAAAACAGTATGCAAGCTTTTCCTCACTATGAGTACCTGGGTACCGTAGTGCCAAAGTTTTGCACATCCAAATAGTCCTTTCACGCGGTCACCTAACAAATATACAAGTCTACGGTGATTTTTCCTCACCAGCAACATCTAGAGAAGGAAAGCATCCAGTCCCCATGCTACGCTCAGTCATCTTCAGACAAGAAGATAGCATAGGTCTCATTACACCCAAAGTAACATTGAGTCTTTTGTATCCCAGGGATTCATTATTATCATGAAAGATAATGAAGAACTTACCTCAGTACTCCTCATGCAGATTTGCACCATAGCACAAAAGGTCCCAGCTACAAGGACATTTTCTATTTTATAACACAAGGTCTTTTAGGACCCTTCTTCTCATCTGAGCATCCTTGTTTTCATATAGAAGCAATAATGAAAAGCAGCTGTTATCTGCTGTAGCCCTGTATTTATTACTAGTGTGCACATAGCCTCCCCCCCAGCCCATCAGATGGACCCACCATGTAGGCTAATGCATGGTGGGTGGTTCAAGTTAAGCCCTAAATCCTTTTTGTTTTTCCCAAGCTCCTTATTGACAGCACCTGTGGCTGACCAATCTGGGAGACAGCAGCCAGTTGTGGAGCATGTTGCCTTTATGGCAGGTTGCCTTTATGGCATTGTGGAGCATGGGACTAGTATGTCCCATGCTCCACAATGCCATAAAGGCAACCTGCAGAGAGGAAAGGGAAAAGCCTTGTCCTTCTTAAGTACCTATAAAGGTGAGGTTCCTTTTTAAAAAAAAGGTAAATAAATTCAGGTCTTATGTTCTTAGGAAGACTACTTAGATACCCAGAAAACTTAGGTTTAGGACATTAGAAAAAGTAAGGCAATGAACCCTAACTGAGGCCCTGATGCTAGAATGCTTCCACACCATGTTTATGGACTTGTCCACCAAGTCTGTCAGCCAAACATGGGAGACTTATTTGTGGAGCAGGAAGAAAGGAGAACCCACCCCCTAACACCCAGCCTCTCCACACACAAAAACCCTGACCCAAACATATACTTCCAGGCCTTCTTGCAGCATATAGATATCAGGACTTTTTTATATATTGGAAAGAAGCAAAGATGGAACAAACTCAGTTGCCCTCCAAGGCAGTTTTTTCTTCAAAAATAGGTTTGGTTTTCATTTCAAGGTGTTGTCCTTTTTCTCAAAGGTTCTTTGTCCATTGAGTAATTTTTTTTTTAGTGCACCTGGTTGACCCAAACTCGAAGACTTGCTGTGAGGAAACAAGTCACTGAGTTTACCATTTGTAAAATGAGGATATTGCTGGTCCTCTACCTCCCTAAGGTGATGGAGAAGTGTCTAGTCTAGTGACAGTCTTAAAAATTAAAAAACAGGAATCCTAATATCTTTCTTGATGTGTGCCTCTGTTCACAGCATGAAGCGTAATTTTGCTATCCTAAGGCAAATTTGAATTTGAATGAGATGATTAAAAATAAAAGTTGAGATTCTGGAGCATAAGATGCGAATAGCTAGGAAGAAAGTTTCTGCTCGGTGAGCAATTTTAACCGGGCTCCTATTTCTGTGGCTGAACCTATTTGTACTGCAGAAGCTTTTCTCTCTCTGCTGTTCTTACTGCAAAAATAAATAAATAAATAAAAATAAACCCTAGGGGAGGAGACGAAAGGACCTGCTCAGCACTGCATCGATGTTCCTGGGTCCCAGTCCTTTTAAAAGCTTAGCATGAATAGACCACCGTGACATGTGGTGCTTCATGGACATCACCAGGCTCAGTGGGATCCCTCGACAGAGTTTCTTCAGGCTCTGGGCCACGTGTAGTGAAAGCACCTCAGCTGCTAATACTGTTCACCTAGACTTAGGGTCCCCTTCAAGATTTAGCAACTATGCCAATTTAAATAGGGCAGCAAATGCTAGGCAGGTTATATTTACAGAGCCCCTTTTGGATACACGGTGCCTAGCAGACATGGAAGACGTCTCCGCCTAAAGTAGTTGGCAGTCCAACTTAGGCAAATAGGGTACATGGAACAATGGGCCGGGGGAGACATTTGTGTTGGGAAGTTGAACAGAGATTCAGAGGAGGAAGAACACTTGGTGGAGGAAAAGCTTTTCACACTGTAGGGCACGGGAGGAGCGGAAGCCAGAACTCGGACAGCGAGGCAGATCCCAAAGGGCGGGAGGAAGGGAGGAAGCAAGCACAACCAACATGCTAGATTCTCTGGGTGATTTCTCATCTCTCTTCCCTTCCCCCAGGCATTCGTCAAGAGAGTTCCAGAAATTCATTTTATATCAAAAATTTACAACAAGGTGTGGACTATACCTTGTGGATGACAGCTTCAACACTGGCTGGAGAAGGTCCTAAAGGAAATGAACAACCGGTTTACCTGGAAAGTAAGGAATTGCCTCAATTTAAGATATTTTTGTGTGAGGAATCAAAGGAAAGAGACCTTACCCTACCTCCACAGATTTCCCTTTCCGATTTGGATTGCAGACACCCCTCTTATTCCTTATAACATAACCAGTTGGAAAGGTAGGTATTAAAGTTTTCCACATTCCTTTTTCTTCAAACTCCTGTCCTCCCACCAAGACATCTATTGTACATAAAAAATAGCAATTTGAGAGCATGTTTTCATCCCAAATGGAGACAAAAAGTTGAAGGATCAACATTTTTCAGAAAGCAGAATGCTGACACACAAAATTACTCGACAAGTCACAACACTTCATTAAGATTGGTCACATCTTCCGTGATGCACTGTGGTTATGTGGCTCCTGCGAGGTACTGCAACTTGTGGTTGGAGGGATTGGGGGCAGGGGGGGGCAGCATGAGTTGTGGTGCAGGAGGAAAGCCTGGTCCACACAGACTGGGGGCCTTCTGGCAACTCAGGCAGACACAAACTAATGAATTGACCTGAAAAGAAACATTGCCCTTCAGTTTGACCAATGGATGTTTTTGCTTCAGTTCACAGATAGGAAATTGAAAAATGTTAGCTAAAGCATCATTCCTTTACTGGATAAAATTAGATTTTGTAGAAACTGCATTTTCTGCCCCCAAAAAAGAATTTATGCAAAAATCCTGAGCTGTTCAGGTTCCGATAGTTGAGCAGACATAGCTTAGCACATTTGCTGCTGTTTATCTGCTCTACATCAACCTTCTCTTCAGTAGCCTGAGAAAAAGGTCAGAGGATAGCACATAAATAACAATATCTGACACACTTTTTCCCTCACCCCTTCAAAGTATTTTTTTCCTGAGTTTTATAAGTCCTTGCAAATTCTTGTCTTTAAATGAACTCAGCGCTTTACTTTCTGAGCCAGAGTCCAACATCAGTTACATAGCGTGACCAGACATACATTCAAGCTAGCATATTGAAAATTTGTGTTTACGCTAGTTATCAAAATGCGCTCACTGTCTTTACAGGTGCTTCAGAATGGACTTTTATTTTGTCCGTTTGTATCTTCATTGTCATCTCCGTCTGCATGTGCTCTGCGCCGTGTATTAAGAAAGCGTAAGTGATTTTTTTTTTTCTAAAACAGGATGGAAAGGTCCATGCTGTGTTTTCAATCCATGGACCTGATTTTATTCCATGCAAAGTTAACAAGGATTCTTGTCATTTAACTTACTAAAATAAAAGAGCTCTGACAGTATTAACTGTTAGTAAATACAGGTTTGGTGGGACAGGCATTTCTATAGATCCCATACCTTTTCAATTTATTTCACCTACAAGCTTTAAAGCAATACTTCTATACTTATCTATGTGTAATGATGAAAAGCTAACCCAGTTTGTCAATTTAGTCAGCCCTAAAAAAGCTTTCAGTAGGGATTAATAGTGTACAGCGAGTGAAAAGCCTGGACATAATCCAGTGCTTAGGTCCAAGTTGTTTTTTGGACTTGGAAGATCACTGGCACGTGGTGCAGAGTACAGTTCTGTGAATGCGATTGTTCAGCTGCTCTCCTGGGAAGATAAGCATTTGCTTTGTAGATTGACTTCTGGGCTCTCTTCAAGGTTACCTCAGCATAGAGGTTTCTGCAATGGTCAGGTTTTGCTGTAAACAGATGTAGTTGGTTATGGCAAGAACCATAGCTGAGAGGGAAATGTTCAAAGTCTTGATCAATACAAGACTGAATAAGGGACTTCTTATTGCTGTTGCCTTGTGGGGAATTCATGGGCTGTAATGAATAGCAAGACACTATGACTGCTGTTGGACAGATAACATCTGGTGAAGGAGCAGCCATAGGTATTGCCAAAAGGGAAACAGGTTGGCAACCAGCATCAAAGCAAATATCTAGATGGAATCTAGTCCAGGCTCCTCCAAGTCAATTTTGTACTAGATACTAGCTAGTCTGCTTGTCCATACTAAGACAGTTTGCAGTGATTAAATACAATTACTTAGTATCCCTCCATTACATGTTGCAATGCTTCAGATTTCAGTGCAAATATATGAGCAATATAGTTTGAAGTCATTATATTTACAGGAATTGCCCTGACTGATTTTAATTGCGTGCGCTCATTTTACAGGTTATGCTCCCTCTTTTCCATCTTTGTACCTCAGTGGTACAGCAAAGCCATTCCAGATCCAGCTAACTCTTCATGGGCTAAGAAATTCACATCTGCGAACGTAAGTCACCTTATTGATATATAACAACCTCCAATATAAGTTATCTAGGCTGCACAAGTTTGTGATCCAATACAAAGAAAACATGAACTTATGGTCCGGAAATAGTTCATCACTCTCCTGACCTGGTAGGCTGTAGGACACACTTCCCAATGCAAGAATAACACTGACACTTACTTTGAGGTGTAGCTATTATAAAAGGACATTGTGAAGCAGACTCATTGCATTTTGAGAGGATAGAGCTCTGAATTGATACCAGTGTGTGTTTTTTATCCCCACCTCAGGATGAACTAAGTTTGTATCCCAAACCATTCCTAAGCAATTTGAGCAGTTTCGAGGAGCCTGAAACTATAGAAGTAGAGGAGGTCTTTATAAAAAGAGACTCTCTGGCTTTCGAGGACCAGCTCATCTTCAACGTTAAAAGCAATGGAAGTCAGGATTGGCAAATTGGTAGCTTTGAGAAGCAGGACTCTGCTGAAAAGAACTCTGAATGCAAACCTTTGGCAACAAGCATAGCAGATGATGGAGACAACTATGGGTGTCAGCTTCCCTACTTGTACAAGAAACTAATTGCAGAAGAAACAGAACAGATTCAAACTATTTCTGATTATCTTCCAAATCCACTTATGGACACAACAGTGAATTATTTGCCTTCAAATGTATTAGTGTCCACAGTAGAAGATAATGAAGATAACAGTGAACTTGAATACAATTCAATCTCTGTTTTCCCAACCACCTCTATTCTGACACCAGTGTTTTCTTGTGGAGGAAACCTTACATTGGATGCAATAAAAGTGGACTGCAATTCTTTCAAAGGGTAAGCTGGCAAAGCATCTCTAAGATTCTGGCCTCATTTTGTGCACTTTAGTCAGATCCACAAATACCGTAATGTTATTTTTAGAGTTAATTATGTAACTTAAGTGTAGAGGTGCTAAATCCAAAAACATCAACAAACTCTGGACTTCTTCAGAATTGCTTTAACACCTTGGTTTGCAACGCTGTTTTGAAGTCTTACAAGAACCTACTCTTCAAGAGCAGTGATGTGTTCCTACAGATCAGAAGCTGAGTGCGCCTTACTTTAAGGTACAAGTATCGTACTGACCTGCCAAGTCAGCTTTACTAATCACAAGCTCGTTATGTTGTGTTGCCTCAGACCCAGCCCAGAACATGGAGTGACCAATATAAAACCCCTGGAAAAAGATGGGCGAGTAGTTGCGAGGCTCCTACTGACCCTAGTAAGAATGGCAGCCTTTGGCTGCAGAACAGCCAACCTGTTTCTCTCATTCCCCCTGCATCTCACGCACCAAGATGTGCTGCATCCTCCCCGTCTCAGGCCCCTTACCCTACACCTCCCAGCAAGCCTTCAGGAGAGGGCCAGAACAGACATTCGGGGTGCTAGAGGGAGGTTAAATCAGTTCCAAATGGCTGCCCAATATCAGGTAAATTGGGATGGGGGGAGCTAGCAGGGGGTTGGCGGG